AATAATTAATTATATTTAATAATTTTAAATTTAAAATTAATTTTATTTATCTTATTTTATAGATTCTTAATAATCATGTGGAAGTTTTAAATATTTCAGTACAATCAATATTACGCATGAGAGCATTTTTTGATGATTTGCGTGCTTTAGCATTCATACTTTATCCAGTTAAATTAGCTATATCTACTCTTGAATCACAAGATTGTTCATTAGCAGATTGTTTTATTGGTTTAGCTCGTTTAGGAGCAGCTATAAAAAATCTTCCTAAAAATGATCATTGTACTTTTCATTAACAATCAATTGCTATTTTTAATAAACGATTTGCTGATTTTGATGATAATGCTTATATTTTATGCTTTTTTACATCCTGGATATAAAGGTAAATTAAAAAAAATGTATATTTTTTTTATTAAAAAATTAAATATTATATAATAGATTTAGTTTGGACAAGAGGAACATTTCGACGAATTCTTCTTGCAGCAAATGAATATTATAAAAAAATGAATAAAACACCAAAGGAAAGAAAAGTATTAATGGCTCAAATGAGAAATTATCAACGTCGTATTGCACCTTTCGATATATTTTTTGATGATAATGAATCTTCTTTTACTTGGTGGTTTTCTATTAAGGATAGCTTTCCAAAAAATGAGGAACATATTTGTCAATTAGCCAATAAGTTATTTGCAATAACACCACATACAAGCTGGTTGTGAGAGGATTTGGTCAACATTAGAATGGTATTATGGCAAACATCATACGTGACTTTCATTAGGCAAAATCGAAAATATGCAAAAACTTTCTGCTTTTTATCTTGCAAATTCAAAAAATGAATTACCTTATTTTTCTATTAATAAGACCGTTGAAAATTTAAATGAAATATTATATAATGCAAATCTTTATGATGATGAAAACTTGGAAGAAGAATTTATTAATGAAGTCGAACAAAGTATTTTTCCAATTCCTGAGGAAGAAATACTTAATATTGAAGAATTATTAAACCTTCATGCTGATGATTTTACAAAAGATTTAGGAGATATAATTGTTGATACTTTTGATGTTACTGATAGTGATGATAATGAGACAATTAGCATTCAAGATAACAATAGTGTTGAAGAAGATTGGGATCCTGAAAGAGAAGCTGATTTGATTTTAAATGAAAATTAAAATATTAATTTTTATTTCCTTAAATTTGTAATTTCTTTGAAAATATAAAATAATTACTTTAGTTAATGATTAAAAATAGCATTAGATTTATTTTTGATTTTTGAATGGAAAGAATAATAATAAAAAATTAATGTTACGATAAATAATATTTATTTTTTTAATGTGGTATCGGTGTATCTAAAAAAGGTGAGGATTCAATTTCTAATTTTGGTTACTGTTTTTTGATGATCAGCTATTAACTAACTATATTTGATTTCACGAAGTACAAAATATTTTTCATTTTCAATTGCTTTACTTTTTTAAGCGTGAAATTTTTATTTTTAAATATATCGAATTAATAAATAATAAATTATATGCTAATTGTATATTATGTGTAAATAGCGTATTAATTAGCATAGCAACTTTAATTAATTTATTGATTAATTAGCATAGATTAGTTTTAAATAGTATTAAAGGTTTAAATCAGCATTTATTTTGATTGGCTAACTAGTTTCGGAAGGTTTCACTAGTTTTGTCTAGTTTCGCCAGTTTCGCCAATTTCGCTAATTTTGTCATAGTTTTGGATTATCGGAAAGTTTTGGATTTTAGTTCTTGAAAGCCGAAACGTTTCGACCTTAAGATTTTAGTTTCGCTCACACCTTTAATTAGATTTATCTATTACTTAAAGATATAATAATTATTAATCATATTTTTTATATTCATTTATAATATCTTGAGTAGAAAATTTTTAATAAAAATATTATTATAATATTTTTAATATTAAATTAAATTTAATAAGCTAATAATTTTATTAGTCTGAAGTGTAATGAAGGACTATATACTTCTATGCAAGGTAGTCACAAATATGGTTACGTGGCGATATCTGGTTGTTCTCACACGTGATTTTTGATTGGTTGATTTTGTATCTGCATATTTATATGAAATAAAAAAAACTCCAGACTTTACAATAGTTTCCGTTTTCTAGTATATTCAAATTAATTAAAAAGTTGATTAAAAAAATAGGTTTAATTATTTACTAATAATATATTTTGTAAAAAAAAAAATTAAAAAAATTTTTTTTAATTTATTTTTAAAGACAAATTAAATTTTTTATATTTAATAATATAATAGTTATTATATTATCTCTTAAATAATAATAAAATTACTAGATAAATTTAAAGATTTAATAGATTATCTTAAAAATAAAAGTAAAATTTTATTAAAATTTTATTAAAAAAAATTGTAAAATTTTAAAAAAAAAATAAAATTATATATAATTTATATTATAGCTTTAGTAAAAATAATAAAATTAAAGATTTAAATTAAAAATAATGATATAACTAGTTATAACTCTGTGATATTTATTTGTTACCAATTATAACTTAACTTTTATTAATATTATAATTAGTTATAGTCCTATAATACTTATATATTATTGATTATAATATATTAATATGATTTTTTTTGATTAAAATATTTTTAAATTTAATATTAAACTATTTTTATTTTTTTTTATAGCAGTTTTATTTTATTATAAATTTTATGGTTTTACTTTATTTTTATAAAGAAAATATAGTCAATTGTTATGAAAATCAGATTCTGAAAATTTTTTAATAAAATTGAGATTTTTATTGTATTTTAGTTTTTGATGTAATTAGTTTACTTTACTGCTAATTAATTTTGATAATATCAAAATTAATTACTTCAATTTAACATTTATTATAAATATTAATAAAATAATTACATCTATCAAAATATAATTTAATTAGTAATTCATTAATTTATGCTAAAATATAGTAATTAAATTAAAATACATTAAGCTTTTAATTTAATTAAAAATTTTTTAGAATCTGATTTTCATAGTAACTAACCCATATTATTTTAATTTTAAAACAATTATTAAAGAAAAAATAAAATGTTATATGAAATTGCCTAAATATAAATATATATAAAAAAAAAAGTTATAGCTAATTTATTTTGAATTTTTACTTTTTAATAGTATTAAGTTTCTTTAATTTAAAAAAATATTTTTTCATTTAATTTTATTTTATTTTTTTTAAATATATTTTAGTTTATAATATTATATAAATTATTGTATTTTTTAATTAAGAAGATATTTTTTAAATCTTACTTTTTTTTTTATTTGATTTAAAAATTAAATTTATCTTTATTTCTGAATTTTATAAAAGAAATTATAAATTTAAAATTTCTATTAATTTTCTTTTATATTATATCAAAAAATCAACAAATAGAAATGTTTTTATTGAATATAAAATGAAATAAATATATATAATTTTAAAAGATGAAAAATGAAAGACAAATTTTTTACAAAGGTACAAAATAAATTTTGTGACTGATAAGTTCAATCATAAGGGGATACAAGTTAACATTCCATTGAATTCAACGTTACGGATCCGTATGACTCGATATAAATCTAGCAAAATAAATTCATGTCACAGAACCACAATATGTTTTTAGAATCATGCATTTGTTGTATAGGTTGCCTGATAGAGTTAATGCGGATCATGTGACCAAGGCGGTATTATAGTTTTTAATATGAGTAGTAGTTAGTAGTTGCATCTCTTTATTTGTCTTTAATTCTGGTTGATCACATAGAAATTTATCTCTAGACTTAATCAATAAAATTCATAAAATTATCCTTCATGTTCCACTAGGGTTTAATTGTATGTTGAATCGTCGGGCTAAATTAAGTTCGATCCGAACGGACGATACGTTACATTATTATCGTGTCTACTAATAAGATTTTGATGGTCATCTATTTTTAAAGGAAATTGGCGCGGAAATGTGCAAGTTTTCGACTAAATTAGTCAAAATACAATTATCTATTATATTTTTGGAAATCGTTACACCCACCCATTTTCTTTGTTCTTATTATAATGAAGTCATTGAGTTGGGACAATGAAAAAATATATAATTTTATTTTTATTGTTATTTTTTTTTTTTTTTTTGCAAGAAAAAAAGTCTTTATACAATATGACATGCAATAACCTGCCCGCCCCTATTGCTACAAACGATAAAAATTTTTACAAGAAAATAAATTTCGGAGTTGAATGATCGACAACTTGCTTTTATTTAAAAACGTTAAGTTTCAAACGTGTGATGTTGAAATTGGTTTGGAATTGCACGTTAGAGTTTCTAAACATTATTAAAGTGATGTAGATCATTGCCTTTTAAAAACCTTTAACCTCCGTTTTGGAATATCTAATTATGAGTCCAATTTTGTACGTCCAACAAGATTTATTCATCATTGAATTCGGAGTTAATTTAATTAATTGCTCTCGACTTTTCAGACAGTCAATCAAATCCACGTGATAAATAAATTATTGATATGTAATAACATGGTATTTATTCAAGCATATGGTATATATATATGTGTGAGATCGGCATTGATTATCGAAATGATAAATTACCGAAAGAAGTAAAAAAAAAAAGAAAAAAGTGAAAGAAACTTTGTGGCGATTATATATACAAACAAATAATGTCAAAATCTTTCATCTATTTACTAAAAATGTAATATTTTTTTTTTATCAGCGGACTTCCGACATACTATCAGTCGTATGACTTCTCCCAGGTCTTTGTTTACTTTCCGAGCTATGAAAGGTATTATTATACCATCCTCCCTCTTCTTCAGATCGTTTCTTTATACGATAACAACTCCAACAACCACATAAGATCAATATTAAAATTATAATTCCTACAATTGAGAAAGTAAGAATACAATAATTTGCACAACCTTTATTTTGACCATCATTTACGTAGTACCAAAAAACCCAATTACTTCTTGAACGAGCTGGAGCAGAATATACTATTTGTATCGGATTTAAAAGTAAAGCGCCTACGAGGAATTTCCGTATTTTAGAATTTACATTTGAGAAAGTCATCGTTAATTATTGAATCTAATAAATTATGACGAATTAGTAAATATTACCATGTTGAAATTTATTGCATTTAAAAGAACTTACATTGAAAAACGATGAAAAAAATTTTGAGCGAAATTTTAGTAAATGGAAAGGTAGTAAAAAAAAAAAAAAAAAAAAAAAAAAAAAGAAAAAAAAAAAATTCCATGAGATTTCTGAGGTTTATTTATATAAACAATTTCACAATCAGTAGAAGATCGACATATACGTGTCACCAAGAAGGATTCGAAGGATAAAAACAAGGTCCGTTGTGCATTCCTGCAGTTCGGATTGTTTTCTATAACTTTATAGGTATTTTATTTGGTTGTATCATATGTAAGTCATAAGAAGTTTAATTTGATTTGTTGCTGAATGGTATAGAAATAATTTTTTTACGTTCTAAATAATTAAGGTTACGCCGCGGTAAGGTTGTAATCAGGCCGGCGCTATTGATGGGACCGAGACGTCATTTCATTAATTTAGTTTGATCGCCGAACCTCGTGTATGAATTCCCATTATCAATTAATAAATGAATGTATATACGGTAGGTAACTAAAAAAGGAGTCTTTTTATTATGAGCATATAAATTAAGGGGTTAAATTTACCAACCAAAATAAATCTAAAAACAATTTATATATACCTTTAATTATTGTTTGTAAAGAAATTTTTTTTTTTTAGTTCGTTTTATTTCATTTCTTAATTGGATCTAATAATTCCGATCTAATTTAAACAAATTCCAATCCTTTCGTAAAAAATAAAAAAAAACTATTTTAATCATTCATTGGCAAAGGATCGTATATAATGTCGAACACTTTGTATTTCGCCGCCGGAATTTGTCTCGGATTTCTTATTATGGAAATATTCGAATTTCTTCAATACATCTTCCTAACTAGATTGTAAAAATCAATCAAAACAATTTTTCTATTAAAAACGTCATGATACATTGCTAACTTGCTGTGAAGGTTAAAAAATGCTGTGATCTTCGACTCTAACTTAATTGATCTAACCTTAAATTTAAATGTACTCGATCAAAATAACATTATATCATCTTGCATATTGACCATTTATTCATTTTTCATTCTTCCTCTCATACTTTTTTTCATTCTTTTTTTTGTTTTTCATTTACTATATACAGACCATTAAAGCTATTTTAAAATTTTTATTTTAAAATTAAATCGATCCTAAGTGAAATTTCAAGTGTTCAGTTAAACTTTCATTTGTTGAAACGTATTCATTCAATCCTTTTCCAAAAATAAATAAAACCGACGCTGTTGAAATATACTAATACGTATTTCTCTAATAATAGCTATCGTTTCAATGGTATTTGATTATTAATCATTTAAGGGTTGCGTTTTACTATTTTTTTACTAGTACTAACGATTTTCACAGACACAAATGCTGGTATGACTGTAGCTGTTCATGAAAACACTTCAAACAACAAATCACAATTATTTTATTTTGCATGTATTTAAAAATCTTTATAGTATTTAAATATATTTAAACAACAGCTCAGCTTTTCTTGAGAATAAGTTATATAAGTGTCCTTAATAACTATAGCACAAATATAACTTGTGCGTACTCTTTATTGTGGATATTATTATTTGAACTAGACATACAAATTCAATTGCAATTTGATAAAGAAAGATAATTTTAAACAAAATAATCACGAGTATTATAGCATCAAAAGAAATTTCCAATTGTAAGGATTAGTTCGTTTTCACTCTTTCTCAGTATTGCTCAATTCAAATAAGGTTATATTCACAATGGTTTCATTTCAGCTCGATGGGCACATAAGATAATTCCTTAAAATTAAAGTTTCAAAACTACAAGCCAAGTATAATCAGGGATTTGTTTATGCAAAGAAAGTATTGATTTTTCTCTTGTAGAATAGTTTAAAATGGTGTTTCTGGATTTTAATATATATATAGTATATTTATTCAAATCGAAATTTTTTGTTTCAATAATCTCAAAATTGTTAAAAATCACTCATTTTATAAAAGTCCAGAGCTTTTATTTTGCGGAGACTGAAGACATTGTTTCACTTCAAAAGATCGATATATTTTGTTATAAGTTATTTTTAAAAAAATTTTTTTTTATATTTTATGTCAAGTGCTTCCCAAGTTTTGACACAATGTTGGTTGTATATTTGAAGAGCCAGTGACCATTGAGGTTAATCAATTCCGGGACAACCTGAGCGCACAATTAGGGATGTTTGAATTACTGATGAGAAATGGACGTAATTCAATTCAGAAATTTTGTTACCTTCACACAATTAAATTGATGAATGGCTTTTATACATAAGTAAAATTGTCCACATCTTTCTTTTTGGTCCAATTGACACAATTCAAGAAAATATTACGGATAAATCTATGTATGAATTGAATGAACTTCATTCCAGGTAAGATTCCGAGGATGATCTTTACCTTTATTCCTAATTTTAGAAATAATGAGAAATTTTAATCAAAAGTTGGAACTTTTTGTAGCTTTGAACCAGAAACAATCTTTTCTAGCGGATGCAATTTTTCGAATACAAATAATATGGGAAAATTCATATAAACATATTATGTTTGAAGAAACTTTTTTATATCAGAGATGATTTAGAATCCTTAAATGTAGTCACACAAAGAAATTTGTTAACTTCAAATTGAAGTATCTCATCATTAATGGAATCACTTCAGTCGTTACGCACCATTATAATCAATGTAAACATTTACGCCACGCTTTCAGAATGGTTCTTTCCATGAAGAATATATGTTCCCAAGCATTGATAGAACATTTTTCTTTTAAATCTTAAGTTTAGTGTCTTTTATTCGGAGAAAGAGGCCTCACTGGTTAGAATGAATTTCAACTCGGAACCGTTTCTAGCAATTTTGAATAGAATCGGAAATCTTTGGTTTTTGTCATTTACCTATAAAAATATAAAGCAAATCTTTATTTAATGTTACCTTTCCATAATTGATCAAGTATTGGTATTGTTCAATTCTGAATCAAGAGCCTAATCAATACTATAACTCGTTGTTGTTGTTAAATAGGGTTGTCAAGTTGATTTAAAATCTAATTGTAACTTTGCCCTTTCACCAATTTTAATAGACATTGTAAAGTTTTGATACTTATAATACTGTTGAATAAGATTACAATTTCAACAATTTATCCTTTTTGATAAACTTTTGTTTCTGCTTCCTCAAAAAAATTACAAATCTAACCTTTTCTCATAATTATATACAGTGAAATTGATTTATATACCATTTCGTCCTTTGCTTTACAAAAAAACTATTCACTGCTTGGCTAATATAAGGTTACTTTCTGGTAAAAACGACTCATTGTCTCATTTAGATATGATTGGTGGCCAAACAAAGCAAATTTATTACTTTGGAATAACAAAATATAGGAAAATAGTTCCTTGTTATTGTGTAGGACAACTACTATTCACTGGATATGTGATCATTATATAACTCATGTATGTATCAACCTATTATCCGTAAATAACGAATATAAAATCTTTTTTAATCCATCGTTATAATTTATTTTTAAAAAATTAATAAAAGCAACAATATTGAAACTTATATCTAATCCTGCTCTATATCTCAAAGGAAAATTCGAGTTACTATATATATATATAAAAGGACAATCACAAGTTTCAAATATAATTATTCATAGTACAGTTAAAAATGTACAATTAGTAGTGAAGTAAGTGATAAGAAATTCCACATACCAGTTATAAAGTCCTTTTTTTGTGGATTCGTGCTTGCGAACATAACTTTTCAATCGATTGATTTTTAGGCACTTATTGTAACAACTTGGAATTGAATGTTGCAACTTAGTTTGTATTTTGGGCAAAAAAAGCCAGCACTTTGATATTCTTTATTTTTTATTTGAAATTAAAAATATACAGCGCTTTTATATTCTCAGTCACGATACATTAAAAGTAAATTAATGTAAACAGGAAAAAATATTTGATATTAAAGTTCATATACATTCATTCTAAATTTTCAAAATATTAGTTTCCATTGTTAACGGACATGATTCCAGCCCAACATACTTGCTACCACGATAAATCCGAATATTCATTAAAAATTAATAATGAAGTTGGTGTCGTTAAAATTTCATAAAAGGTCAAAGATATCTTATTTATTATACCTATGTCCCCTCGAAAGTAAAATAAAAATGCCCCGATTCAGTGAAAGTTATTCTTCATATATAAATTCATATTTGATATTATTGATAATACTGGGTAAAATTATTAATGTACCTTATCCATTATAGAACAATCTAAATCGCAACAGCTAATCGCTTGTTTCCGGTTCAAACCAACAGTGTGTCAAAATTAAAAATTTTTTATATCAAAATTATTTTAGAACTCATATTTTATGATGTAAAAGCTTTCGAAATTCTAATTTTTATCGTGAGAAATTTACTATTGCGTTTAATTAAAAAAATAATTTACATTTTTTTTTTTTCTTTGATATCGGAGAAATTATATTTTAGTTGATATGTTGATATGAAAGCAATTCTTGATCCATTTTATTATAATTATTGGATTAATTTTTATCTACGAATAATTAAGATTCAATGGACCCTTACATTACATTTACAACGCTTCAATAAATTTAAATTTTAGCTAACTCACAGTTGACATTAAGAAAATACGTTTAGCAAAATAAAAGAGAGAAAAAAAAGTATTTTTTTTAGCGAGTCACCCAAAAAGGAAATATAAATACTGTATAACAGATAATGTAATCGTTAACTATCAACCTGGTATAATGTAATTAGACACGTTGTCATTCTTGAAATTATGATTAAAATACGATTCGAATGTTGAATAAAAGTCGAAATTCCATACATTAAAGCTACTTTATTTTTTTTTTATTATTCAAGTTATGTAATATAAAATCCTAAATTAATTTAAATTTTCAATTTTGGACTAATGATAATTTAAATATTCCTAAAGCTATTGTTTGAATTTAAGAAACAAAAAAAAATCATTT